TCTGCCTGTGATACAATTATCTCAACACAATAGACTAACTTAATTATCACAGGCAGGAAAATACAGTATTATAAAACATACCACAGGAACCCCAAAACACGCAATAACCCCATAAAAAATATATCCTCGGAACCGGGGGATCTGGGTGAACCACATATACAAAATTCACCCAGATCCATTCAGTAGTTTGGAAGATACGGTTTAATGCAGATTCGGCAGAACATATACAGGCTATATGAAAAATAATTACTGTTAAATGTGTCCCCTGTTCTGTAGTTTAAAACTACTGAACTATGTTTTTTTGCACCAAATACCGGCGAGATGGCACGTGTAGAAAAGTCAAAACAGTGTCTGTGAGTTAAAATGGCAGCCATCCATTGTTCTCACCATGTGCCTCTGATACATGAAATGGTGGCCACCCAGTAACTCCACAGTTTGTCTGGTAGTCTATCCAGCCGAACCAACAGATGAAACACATGGGGAACAGTGCAACTAGCACTAGCCAACATCATAAACGAGACAGACACATATTTCTTAACGTAATAGCCCAGCACTATTGGTCCTTTACTTAGACCAAACTGTTAATACTGAGTCGAGATGGATGTTTGGGGGGTCTTAATTTGGAAATTGTATTTTCTTATCTCTGCTTATCTATTTTTAAATAATGTTATCTCCTAAGACTGATGATAAGGCAATGATGTCTCACAAGGATGGGGGATGGAATACTAACCCAGAGAGACAAATGTATACATAATTATATATACATATACACACTATCCACTTATATTTGCGGCAATTAATAATTAAATATAATCAGTATTTGTTAATAATATAGACTATTCATTGTTAAATATCAATGAAAAATATATTATTTAATAAATGTTAGTGGGATAGAAAAATAATCTTACACACAGCTTCACAAAAGAACCAGACACTAGTAACAGATAACACTTAGTAATTAATTTTACTTTCTAACTCCTACAAAGTCCCATTGTAAGTAAAAGGATGAAATTAAGGTTAGGAGGTGTCAATTCTAAATTACGATTGGAATTGCCGACGCTCTGTCTGGGATAAGCCTTTGAAATTGGCAGCAAATTTGAGTTAAATGGACATAAAATGGATAAGTAAATGACGTCAAAATCATAAAATTCAGTTAACCCATCAGGCATAATGGCAAATGGACCCCATGACAAGACATTTTGGTGATGTAATTGCGCTATCTACTGACCAAAAAAAACCTAGATTATGGTCTGACACACCTACAGTTCCCTATTGGTCCTATCAACTAGTGATGTGCATAGAGTTTGGCCCTTTAAAAAGTAAGGACAAAGGGAAGAGAGGGATTCAACATTCAGACATTCAACATTGGACATTTAAGATTCAACATCTGACACTCACAGACTCAGACAAACTCTCTTTGACACAACTCAAGAAACACTTTCCTGGACACCTAATCCAGAACTCTGAAAACTTTTTCTACTGCATACATCAATCCTACTTGCATACAATTCCTGGGACAGATCTTTGAATTCATCTGATAAGAAAATCTACAACCTAACTAGTAATTATGTTGGTTTTTCAAATTTAATTAAATTAAATTAATTAAAATTTTACTCATAGCAGGAATATATGCTTGGATAAATCTCAGTCAGATTACAATCATTAGAAAACTTAGTTAACTACAAAAATATATGGTTATAAAATTCCATTCCTGCAGGTGGAATAAAGATAATATATTAACAGTAAATTTACCAAAAAGTTAGCATACCGATATTTTTATCCGGGTGTATTGACTTGTTCTGAAATAAGATAGTGAATCTTATTTAGGAAGGTTAAAATTCGACTAATGTAAAATCTGGTAGAATTATTCTTATTGGATGGTTCCAGGAATGGTTAATGATCTGGTATGAACATTGCTTTAATTGAAAAATTGCAACAGAATAGGATATTATATGCCTATGAGGATTGTAGCCATCAGTGAAATCGTAAATTCAGTATGGTCTAATTGTCAGCCAAAGTTTTTATTGCTTCTCGCTGCACTGTGTGTTCTAAGTTTCTAAGTTTCTATCATAAATCTTGTTAAGTTCTTGATAGCTGGTTGCTTTAGCCGCTGAATTGTGTTTAAACCATTGCCATATTGTATGCCTATGTTATACCTATTCACTGATTGTCATGCATGTTACGTTTTATTTTTATTATTATTGTCACAATAAATTATATTTTTATAAGGAGATTGTGATTTACTATGTGAAGTAAAATCCTCTGATGACTTTCTCTAGGATCTAAGAGAATTAATTTAGTGGGTAATTATTATTATTATTGCCATTTATATAGCGCCAACAGATTCCGTAGCGCTTTACAATATTATGAGAGGGGGGATTTAACTATAAATAGGACAATTACAAAAAAAAAAAAAAACTTACAGGAACGATATGTTGGAGAGGACCCTGCTCAAATGAGCTTACATTCTATAGTTGGTGGGGTGTAAAACACAATAGGACAGCTTTATATTATTTTTCGGAGGTACAGTGCCAAGGTATCAATTTTGATATAATAAAAATGGTTAAATTGATTTTTGATAAATATTAATATCAAATATAAAAAGTATCACCCCATACATATTTTCACAGCTGGTCACTTAGATCGGGGCTATCAGGGGATGTAACTTTTGTGAGAATTTAATGTGTTTTGGGAGTGTAATGGAGCTTCCTGTACCCCGGTTGGGTACCTCCGCTGAAGGATGCTCCTAGTGCTCACCAAGGTCTCCAGGCACTCCACCAGACATCATCAGTCCCCACATCCAGCGTTACAGCTTGGCTGGGAACTCACCGTTCCAGTGGGTGAACCTCTCCTACTCTAGAGAGTGTAGGAGGAACAGCTCTTAAAAGAGCTAGTGATTATAATCCCAGGAGAGTATTGTGATATAGCAATCACCAGGGTAGATACAACCTTTTCCCCCACACATGAGATGAGACTATGTGGAGGGTAAAACAGGAACTCAATTTTAATGGAGGCCTTTTATGCAAGTTTCCCAACAAGGGTGACAACCAGATGGACCTTGTTGGGCACAGGGACACAAAGTGAATAAACCAATAAAAACGGATTCATACAGTGAGACACTCATATACACAAACAATAGAATCCCTCCTCTGTGCTTGGGAGATAATTGAATCAGGAACTGCACTAATCTAACCCAATTATCTCCAAGCAAAGAAAAACATACAATTTTATGAAACCCCAAAAAGTACATTAAAAACACATTAAAAAAAAATACATCCCCTGAGAGCCCCAATCTGGTTGAACAACATATCCAAAAATCACCCTGATTGGTTCTGGGGTTCAGGAATTTCCTGGAAGTCATAGTTTTGACTGACCGTGCACATGGTCCTATGCCCAGAAAAGTTCCAGGGAATTAAGGCCAACGGACGGTCTCGCTTTATGGAGCACAATACTACTTACATTACATGAATGGAGCCTTTTAGAGTGTATTGGGCAAGGTATATTGCAGGGCCCGTAGTTACAGGATAGGAGGCAAGCAAACAGGCCCCTCCAAAAACCAGTGGCGAGGTCACTTTTGCCACAGGGAGTATTTGTTATTTTGGTTATATTGTACTGAGAGATAATTCAATTATATGTTTGTGTGCTCAGGCAATTATCTCTCAGGCACAGAGGAGAAGTTGTAACTTGTAACTAGTCCCCTCTCAGGTCCAGAAGAGAGATTATCCTGTTTGTGTGGGAGTGTCAGGGGCGTGCTTAACAGTGTCTGAAATTGTATAAAAGCATCTGGCCAGATTAAAACACTCCAGCTTGCACTCCCAGAACTATATGTCGTCTGGTTACTGGGAAGGGAAATGATTAATTAGTGTTCCAATGTGGAGGTTTCAACTGGGAAAGTCCTTGTAAGGACTAGAGCTCCCAAGATTGAGTGCCATCCAGTGCCTGGGGGTGGATAGAGAGAGATCCCCATTCGACCCCAGGAAGGAGCGGTTCCAGGACCCCAGTCAAGACACGGCGACTGGGGGCAGAAGTGGTTTGTCCCTTGTTCCAGCTAGGAAGCCAAGCGGTCCTTGGCGTTGGTACCCAGCCGGGGTACAGGGAACTCCGTTACACGACCTATATCCCTCAACGTGGATGTAAAGATCTTTACTAAAATATTAGCTTCAGGCTTGAGTCCTCTCCTTCCAGGACTAGTCCACCCTGATGAGGCCAGATTTGTCCCATGCAGAAAGACAATACCACCAAAATCATAAATTTCATTCATCAGGCACAGAAAGAAACTCTGGCCATTACTCTGGCGATTGATTTAGAGAAGGCTTTTGACAGGGTGGATTGGTCCTTCCTCCTAAACACTTTGGAGACTCTGGGGTTCGGTCAACATTGGATTCAGTGGATCCGAGCAATTTACTCTATTCTGACCGCTAAACTTAAAATCAACAGGCAATTTTCAGGCACATTTCCCATCACTAATTAAACACACCAAGGCTATCCCTTATCCCCCCTTCTTTTTATTCTAGTTCTAGAACCTCTGTTTAATGCAGTGTGCAAGCAGGCTAAGATTAAAAGGTATAAAGGAACATTCCCAGGAATATAAGGTGTAGGCATTTGCGGACAACCTTCTGTTCACCATGGAAACCACAAGAGATGCCTGCCATACCTGATGGCAGAAATTATAAAATATAGCAATCTCTTCAACTTCAAAATCAATACGGGGAAATGTGAGATTCTCAACCTATATTTTTCTAATCAAAACATACAGTGGAAAACACCCAGAATATGTAAAAATATACATAAACAAGTTAAACAACCTGAAATCAGGTAAATATCCGTGGATATAATCTGTATAAAAAATCAAAAGGCTGACATAGCGTAATACAGTATTAAATGGAGTGTGCGATAAATGTGGTAATGAGTACACTCACAAACAAATGTGAAATCAGGCTTCTCACCCTCTCAGGGGTAATATGATGTATGATAAATATGAATTTGAAATATCATCCAACGGAATATATGTAAATAAAGGAAATCAGATATAGTGAAGTTTGTTATAAAAATACAAAATCACATTTATTGGTCGCAGTTACACATAGGAATATTAAGAAGAGCGTGTCTCCATATAACATGGAACTCCTGTACAACGTTGTAAAAGAATCCAGGAGAAAATCCAGGAACAGGTTTATGGAACCGCCAAATACAGGTAAACAATAAAATACAAAATAAAAGAACATAAATTAAAAGTCCATAAGGAGAAGAAAATCCAACTCGTTTCTTCCATTAGAATATGGGATTTCCTCAGGGATATTTTTTCTAATGTCAGGGTACCTTTTGTGCCACAAAACAAAACAAATGAAGGTTGCGCCAAAGCTGGCTGTAGTCCAGCTAACATGAACAAAGCCCAAAATAGTAAAAAGCAAAAGTCCAACGTAATATAAAACAAACTCTTTAGTGGAGCATGATGGGGTATCAAAGGCCTATGAAGAGGGATATTCTTTGTATGGATCAAATGGAGGCAGCTTTCCAGGATCCGTATGTGAAAAGAGAAAAGGATAATCATCTATCTTTTTTCTCCACATACGGACAAAAAGACCAACTGTAACGGACCGTTTTGCACAAAAGGGGTAAAAACCGTTTAGGTGATCGGCCCCCTTTCCAGAGATGCAGGCACAGCTACTGCAGAACACCAAGCTCCCGAACTGGATACAAAATAGCACTCCAACTCCCGAACTGGAACCTCCCAAATAGCTGCTAGCAGACGAACAGGAAAAGCAGACAATCAGCTTACACTCCTGGCAATCAGTCTCTAACAGCATACAGTGAATCCCCCCAAGAACGAGACAAGGCTCCGTGTTGAGGGTCAAGCAGTGGTCTGAGGTGCTGGCACACCCAGCCTGGTTTTTATTACAGTCTTGCAAATACAGGACCGCCCACAGGGAGGTATAAAACAACCAATCACATCACAGTTACATCCCACATATTCCCTCCCCTTATCCTGAGAGGAAACTCAATTATACATACAGTTAAAACATACTTTCTACCCAACTTTCATAACTCTAAAACCATACATCACATTCACATAAAATTACAAATACACAATCAATCCATTCAGGGGAACAACATATTAAAAAATGACATGAATCAGACCAGGGGTTCAAAAGTTAGTAAAAAGTCCTTTGTGACTAAATGAAGCATGGCTTTCTGGCCCAAACCAGTTTCAGAGTCTTCTATCCTGGAGAGTAATTCAATTATCTCCCAGGACAGACACAAGACTCCATTAAGCACATGGTTGCAAAAAGACACAAAACACTTTAAAATACATAAAGTCACATTTATTACATAAAACACAGACATGTAACATATCCCCAGATAGCTCAGGTCCGAGCGCACATTATTAAGCGAATGGCGCTCAGACCACACGAATACAGTTTAATCGCCATGGAGCCAAAGTCTTTACAGTCAGTTTCATACGAATGGGCTCCATGGGGTTCCTATCTGGGGTATAACACATTCAAACAAATCTACTGAACCCCAGGCAGAAAAGCACGAATACAGCTTTTCTGCAGGCAAAAGTAAAGTCTTTTAAAAGGGGGCCATAGTCCAAAGGCAGCAGGCGAGCAACCAGGCTTCTCCAATGCAATGTGGCGAGATTGGTCTCGTCACACCAACACCCCTCTACGTATCCCATAAGCGGGGATTGTACCCCTATACGCCATCCACACTAGAGCTAGTTTAGCTCAACTACACATGAGTAGGACTATCATAGACTTCGTCTTCCTGCTATCCCACCTTTTTACTTGACATATTTTCACTATTATCCTTTTGTCTTTTCACATACAGATCCTGGAAAGCTTCTTACATTTGATCCATACAGAGAATATCCCTCTTCATAGGCCGTTGATACCCCATCAGGCTCCACTAAAGAGCACTGCTCCCTGCCACTTCTATCTTTACATATTACATCTTTACATATAAGGAGAGAGCTGCGTGCCGGTAGCTCCCTCCTTGTAATAAATTGAACGAACAAACAGACACTGATACACAGTGTTAGTTTGTTCATCTGATTTTTCTATTCATTCATTCGTCTTTCTGATGAATGAATGAATAGATGAAATTCCCGTTTGCATGCCCAGGTGTTTCACTGGGCATGTGCGGGAATCTCAGTGCGATCTAGTGTGGGCAGATGACATGTCCCACAGGCACTTCCTCTACTCACACAAAGATGGCGGCGCCCTGAATAAAGATCGGGGCAGAACATAAAGAATAATAAATAGGTAATATAGGGGGCTTGGGGGCATTTGGGGGTGACTAGGGGGTCAATTAGATATAGTGGACGCAGGGGGGTTAACAAACAACGGGATTCGGCATGACAGTGCCGCTTTAAGGGTTTGATGGCAGGCACCTGCCGAGATAGGGTGAATTAAAGGAACACTATCGTCACCTAAACAACTTTAGATTAATGAAGCACTTTTAGTGTATAGATCATGCCTCTCAGGTTTCACTGCCATTTAGAAGTTAAATAATGGTTTCTGTTTATGCAGCACTTGCCACACCTCCCCTGGCTATAATTGACACAGACTGCATGAAAAAAAAACCCCCCAAAAAATGGTTTCACTTTCAATCAGATGTAATTTACCTTAAACAATTGTATCTCTTTCTGTGTAAATTGATCTTTAATCATATATAGGAGGCTCTTGCAGGGTCTAGCAAGCTATTAATATAGCGGGGGATAAGAAAATCTAAATTAAATAGAACTTGCAATAAAAGGAAGGGCAAACATTAGATGACTCTTTATAGGGAGTGTTTAGGAAGGCTGTGCAAGTCACATGCAGGGAGGTGTGACTAGGGTTAATAAACAAAGTGATTTAACTCCTTAATGGCAGAGGACTGGGCAGTGAGGCTGCAGGGGCATGTTCCATACACCAAAACTGCTTCATTAAGCTAAAGTTATTTTGGTGACTGTAGTGTCCCTTTAAGCCAATATATGTATTTTCTAAATGTACATCCCAACGCATGTTTTCTCAATGTACCTTATCCCTGTACATTTGTACCTAAACATTTAATACTATACATTGTTTAACGTCTATGTCTCATTGAATTGCATTAGAAACATAGAAACATAGAATGTGACGGCAGATAAGAACCATTCGGCCCATCTAGTCTGCCCAATTTTCTAAAAACTTTCATTAGTCCCTAGCCTTATCTTATAGTTAGGATAGCCTTATGCCTATCCCATGCATGCTTAAACTCCTTTACTGTGTTAACCTCTACCACTTCAGCTGGAAGGCTATTCCATGCATCCACTACCCTCAGTAAAGTAATACTTCCTGATATTATTTTTAAACCTTTGTCCCTCTAATTTAAGACTATGTCCTCTTGTTGTGGTAGTTTTTCTTCTTTTAAATATAGTCTCCTCCTTTTACTGTGTTGATTCCCTTTATGTATTTAAATGTTTCTATCATATCCCCCTTGTCTCGTCTTTCCTCCAAGCTATACATGTTAAGATCCTTTAACCTTTCCTGGTAAGTTTTATCCCGCAATCCATGAACCAGTTTAGTAGCCCTTCTCTGAACTCTCTCTAAAGTATCAATATCCTTCTTAAGATACGCTCTCCAGTACTGCGTACAATACTCCAAGTGAGGTCTCATCAGTGTTCTGTACAATGGCGTGAGCACTTCCCTCTTTCTACTGCTAATACCTCTCCTTATACAACCAAGCATTCTGCTAGCATTTCCTGCTGCTCTATTACATTGTCTGCCTACCTTTAAGTCATCAGAAATAATCACCCCTAAATCCCTTTCCTCATATGTTGAGGTTAGAACTCTACCAAATATTCTGTACTCTGCCCTTGGGTTTTTACGTCCAAGATGCATTATCTTGCACTTATCCACATTAAATGTCAGTTGCCACAATTCTGACCATTTTTCTAGTTTACCTAAATCATTTGGCTTATCCCTCCTGGAACATCAACCCTGTTTCATATCTAAGTATCATCAGCAAAAAGACATACCTTACCATCAAGACCTTCTGCAATATCACTAATAAAAATATTAAAGAGAATGGGTCCAAGTACAGATCCCTGAGGTACCCCACTGTTGACAAGTCCAAGCTTCGAATATATTCCATTAACTACAACCCTCTGTTGCCTGTTACTCAGCCACTGCATTGCCATATGTTTGCTATGAAACAATTTACCTTGTATGAAAAATTCAAAAAAATAAATGAATTAAAAAAGTAGTCCTAAGAGTCCCAAAAAGTGCTATTGTTGGGAGACACCCTGAAACACTCTCGAACTGTTAACCGGAAAATAGCACAATCTTGATCCAGCAAACAGTTCCAGAGTGTTTTAGGCTGTCTCCGGATCAGATGCTCGGTGAGCGGGATGAATTCCAGAGTGCCCCAGTTCTGGCTGGGAGGCAGAGAAGGCATCCATTGGGTCACCGTAACCCTACTAATAGTCAGGAAACCAGACATAAAAAAGTACATTAAGCCTGACAGTCTCTTTGACAAAGCTCCCCCTTATAGATCTAATGTGCTGTTCAGGATGGAGATTGCCAACCTCCCCCTCCTTGGTGATCCTTATGCTGCTGGACAATGAGGTTGCTGGCCTCCCCAGCGTGGAACATGTTCTGCCGCTGGGGAGCGAGGTTGCTGACATCACCTCCCTCCCTGGTATTTATTCTGCCACTGGGGAAGTGAGTGTTCTGTGTGTTCCTCTCCTGGGTAATCCTTCCGGGAATTTGAAAGGCTAGTATTCGCCCCACTAGCTTGTAATGTCCCGTCCAGGTCACACAGGGTTCAGCCGACGTCATTTCCTGTGGTGCAAATTTGCTGTTAAGTTCCTTAATCCATAGAGGGTAGTTTCTCCATTTCACTTGAGGGCAAGGTACTGGCAATTATAAGTCCATGGTGTTATTCAACTACTTCTTCTAACTCTGAAGTAGTGTGCTCGTGTTTGCATCGATGATATATTTTTTTATCTGGGATGGAGATGAGGCATCATTGACACTGTTTTTAAGCCACCTCAATACAAATGAATGGGATATTAAACTTACAAGTCATTTTTGCAAGAATGCTGTGGAATTTTTATATCTTAATATTTATGTGGAGCGAAATGTATTAAAGACTTGTACCCATTTTAAGAAGGTTGACGTTAACAGTTACATATGGGAGAACATCTGCCATTTCTCCCCATGGCTGTTAAATGCCCCTAAGGCACAACTGCTTGGGATTAAAAGGAATTACACAGATCAACATAAATTTCAGGAACAGTCAGAGAAAATAATTAATGATTTTAAAGAAAAGGGATGCAAAGATGGACTTTTAAAGAAAGCCCTTTCTGAAGTAGAGGATGAGGACAGGATGAAATTAATAGGATATAAAGGCACCAAGGATAATACAGAACCACAGAATTTGAAATGTATTTGTTATTTTAATCATAACAGTGGACGTCTAAAGAACATTATCCGTAAATACTGGCCAATATTAAAGAATGACTCTGTATTAAATTCGAAACTCCCAGACACGCCTGATTATAGTGTACAGAGAGGTGTACCAAACCTTAAAAGCACCTTAGTCAAAAACCATATACCCCCAAGAAAGTTGACAAACCAATTTTTGAAAGAGAAAAACGTTTTTTATGGATGCGGCATGTGTGGAGCATGCAAAGGTTCTAAAAATGGTAAAAAATTAGTTAGGGAGTTCTGCCATCCACAGGAGAAGAGTAAGATTTTCAAAATTAAACAGGTTATCACTTGTCCCTCAACTAAAGTAATCTACATGATTACGTGCCCTTGCGGGCTAGCATACGTAGGGAGGACCACTAGAACTCTAAATACTAGAATACAGGAGCACATAAGGAACATTAAAAATGGGTTTCTAAAACACAGCGTGTCCTTGCACTTTAAGAGTCATCACAACAATAATCCACATTTGATGTAATTTATGGGAATCCAAAAGGTAATTGGAAATTGGAGAGGTGGAGATCCCATTAAGTTAAATCGGACAAACAGAGATGAGATGGATTTTTAACAAACACCATGCAACCCTATGGTCTTAATGATGATTTTGAAATATGCCACGTTTTATAATGATTTTTAAAGTTTTTTATTGTCAATTAATTTTATAACACTCAACATTTATTATACTTTGTTCATTGTTTATCATAAAGGGTTTTTAACTTAGTTACTTTTATATCCCCCCTTTTTTAAGCTCTATGACAGGCATAAGGCTATCCTAACTATAAGATATGGCCAGGGACTAATGAAATTATTTAGAAAATTGGGCAGACTAGATGGGCCAAATGGTTCTTATCTGCAGTCACATTCTATGTTTCTATTTTACTGATTAAATGCTTTTAACTTTGTGTTCATCATTAAAGGAACACTATAGTCACCTAAATTACTTTAGCTAAATAAAGCAGTTTTAGTGTATAGATCACTCCCCTGCAATTTCACTGCTCAATTCACTGTCATTTAGGAGTTAAATCACTTTGTTTCTGTTTATGCAGCCCTAGCCACACCTCCCCTGGCTATGATTGACAGAGCCTGCATGAAAAAAAACTGGTTTCACTTTCAAACAGATGTAATTTACCTTAACCACGGTTGACGGACAAGGTCCGTCACAGAAGGGAGACCCTTAATGACGAGTGATGGACCTCGTCCGTCACCCAGTAAAATTAACCCCGGATCGCCGCTACTGCGGCGATCACGGGGTTAATGGTTCTCCGGTATGCCTCTGCATTAGAGGCATACTGGGAGCACCCAGTCAGGCTGCCCAGCACATGTGCTCGCTCTGACCGCAAGTCAGAGCGAGCACATGTGCTCAGTATAGTTACCTTCCGTCTCCCTGCACTTCCGGGTTCTGTGTGAAGTGCAGGGAGCTGGAACAGTGATGATCCTGCCCCCTGCTGTTAAAAAAAGTTAATTTAATAAAAAAATTAACCCCTTCCCTGCCAATTGATCACTGACTACAGTGATCAATTGTCAGGGATTACATTTAACTATGATCTGATTTTTTTTTTTTTAACCCCTGAGGGTTCATTTTTTTTTAACCCTCAGGGGTTAAATTTATTTAATTAATTAAAATATTTTATAATTATATATTTAGCTAGCTGGGGTGGGTGGAAGTTAGTGGGGAATTGGGCGATTTGGCGTTAGGCTAACTAGGGGTCAACGTTAAAAAAAGTTTTAAAATAAACTTTAAAAAGTTACAAATTAAGCTTTAAAAAATGTTTTAATAACGTTCAAGTAAAAAATAAAAAAAATAAAACCCCTTTACCTAGTCCAAATAAAAATTAACCCCTTCCCTGCCAGTCGATCACTGCCTACAGCGATCAAATAGAGATCACAGTGATCTAATTTTTTTAACCCCTGAGGATTAACTTTTTATTTATTTTTTAACCCTCAGGGGTTCAATTTATTTAATTAATTTAAATATTTTATAACTATATATTTTGCTAGCTGGGGTGGGTGGGAGTTATGGGAAAATGGGGAATTTACTGTTAGTGCTGCGTACTGCTAGTTAGGGGTTAACGGTAAAAAAAAAAAAGCTTAGAAAAATGTTACATCTGTAAAAAAGTTTTAGGAAAGTTTAGGAAAGTTTAAAAAAATTAATAAGCAAAACAAAAGTTTAAAAACTAGTTTTTAAAAGTAAAAAAGTTATAAAAAGTAAAAAAATACATTTTAAAAACGCTGATGACCACTACACCTGGAACAAACTAGAGAAAAAATTATCCCACGCCAAGGTTCAAAATATGCCTTTTGAATTAACCCAGGGTGTATTCTTTAATAAATAGTATGTGTTTGTGGGGAAGTTTCAATAACCAACCGTCTAAACTATGGACACAGCGTAAAACTTCAAAGTTAGAAAAAAACTGAATGGCTGCGTCTCAAATGCGCCCCTTCAACATCCACATATACCTGGCAAAGGTACATACGGGGGTATTGCTGTACTCAGCCGACATAGCTGAGCAACATATGAAGTATTATACAGTCATAGCACACATAAGGTTTGCAAAATATGCTGCGCAAACTCACTTTGTATGCCAAAAAGGCAGAAAAAATGCTTATTACCATTACACGTGGTACAAGCTAGCGGAAAAATGATCCCACGCTAAGGTTCAAAATATGCCTTTTGAAATACCCTGGGATGTCTTCTTTAAGAAATGGTATGACTTTATGGGGTATTTTGATTATATAGCCTGGTAAAATACTCTAAAATGGGACATAGGCACAGCATAAAAATTCAAAGTTTGAAAAAAACTGGAATGGCTGTGTCCCAAATGTGCCCCTCCGATGTCCACACATACCTGGCAAAGGTACATACGGGGGTATTGCTGTACTCAGCCGACATAGCTGAGCAACATATGAAGTATTATACAGTCGTAGCACACATAAGGTTTGCAAAATATACTGTGCAAACTCACTTTGTATGTCAAAAAGGCAGAAAAAACGCTTATTACCACTACATCTGGTACAAGCTAGCCAGACACATTATATATTCTGTAAATCAGAACAACTAAATTAATTTATTTTTAATTACTTTTCTTAACCTGCACTAATTATGCACACATTATTATTGCAAAAACTGTAAAATAAAAAACACAAAATTTTCATTTTTTTTTACATTTTTCTGTATTTTTTTATAATAAATAAGCATTTATATATATGTGTGTTACATTTAGTGGGGCGAGTACTAGCCTTTCAAATTCCCGGAAGTGACGTCACGCACACGATTGTACGTGCGTGCACGATGACGTCACTATTGAGGGATAAAGCAGTTCAACTGGAAATCTACACCCTCCCTCGCAGGAACGCCCATGATTGGTTGGAACACGATCCCTTGCCACCAGTCCGAACGAGAGGCGGGGATTATAATTGGAACTGAGCAGGATGAAAGTCACCAATTGAGAAAGCCGAAAGGAATCGGTGAAACGCGTTTTGGACAATCACCAGTATATTGTATGTATTATATTGATTTTTTTATATGTCTATGTAATAAATTAGTTTTTATTGGATTACATACATCTGGTACACCTTTTATCCTGCTGAAAGAGGGAAGGAGTCATCCCTAACAGGACTCATATGCCCATACACTCAGAGCCAGGTCATAGGCTCTCACCCAGGTGAGAAGCAATCTTAACCTTTACCTGTAAATTATATATTGTTATCATTAGGATTGCAACACCAGGGCGAGTTTTCCCTGTTTGTTCCTTTTGTTTTTGAGGAATATACTGCACTTGGATTCAAGACTACCCAAGCACCTTTTACACCCCTAAGGAATTATGGGGAGTAAGTGACTATTATTTAGCACTACACACTTTCACTATTGCATACTGATTGTGTAAAATAGTGTGTTTCTTTGATTGAACCACAGTAGGATTGGAGAGTTCCTATTTCTGTGTGAGAGCTGCTGCATTAAGAGCACTTGTTGGAATCTCTTAAGTGCCTGTTAACACAAAGTACTTTGTAAATTTGTTTATCACAATTCCTGCTGGGCCAGCTCATGTAACTTGGACACCCATTCATCAGGGGGCTGCTCTCCCAGGAAAGGCATCTGCAAATCAACTTGATCCAAAAGTTGCTGCATAATGTTTGGGAGGGATTCTCTCTGGAGAACCCAAACTCCTCTAAGACATCGTTCCAGAGATCCCATCTGATTTCTTCCTCCAGTCTAGGTCACCCTCTTCCAAGACAGGGCCATATTACTGGGACAGAGCCTACTGCATACACCGCTGAAAATCAGCAAACAAGGACCCAGCACAGGTGCTAGCACTATCCATATCCTTGAATTCTAGAAAATATGCAGGCCCCAGTGGCGTACACACAACCCAAAGGTAAGTGCTGAAGACACACACACACTCTCACGAAAAGACGCATACACACTAGCTAACAGATACACACATTTACTGACACTCACTAACAGACACTAAACAGACTCAGTAACAGGCGCACACAAACTAACACACTCAGTAACACACTCACTGACACACAAAAACACTAACACACACATACACACGTTTTTAAAAACAAAAATGTAATCCCCCCCAGCCTCCCTACCTTTGGGATAGCTGAGGGGGATTTCCTGGGGTCCAGTGGTGCTGCTGGGCGGTCACCGGGCTGGCTGTCTGGCGGGCACGCGAGGGGGCACTCTCCGCTGAGCGCTCTCTGCCCAGCTCCCCCACGAACCGCGTTCTGATGCCGGAGCGACGTCATATTCCAACTCTGGCATCAGTACGCGGCAGACGAGGGAGCTGGGCAGAGAGTGCTCAGCCGGGGAGAATGCTCCCTCGCGCACCCGCCTGCCTGCCTGGTGACACCAGGGCCAGCCTCGGGGGGACGCAGGGCGCTATGTACATCACTGGTTCCCGGTGGGTTTTTGGAGGTTATCTCAATTGCTTGGAAGCCACCTCACCACAGATGTAACAAATGCTTATTTAACTTCAACTAAGTACCTCCATAAAGTCGTCATACAGTCCTTCTTCTCTGGAGCTCTTTAGATCATGTCACTAAAGCTTGACTGGGATCTTTGAGGGTCTCTGCTATGGGTCCAGGCTGCTGTGGTTATAGCTCCCTGCAGAGGTTATAATATTCTGCTGTGGTTATATCTCTTCTGAAAAGAAGAGATTATAACTTTTAGAAATGTGGATTCCCACACCAGGGGGGTCTTCCAAGCACCACAGCGCCACTGTGAACATGAACCTCCTGCCTTGCTTCCTTTACTTGCTTCAAACATTGCCAGTGCACATTCCAGAACAATTTTCCTATCAACCTAGATCAATATTGTTGGAGTATGTCTGGCAGTGCCACAGGGTGGGCCTAAATTACAATCTCCTCTTTCGTCATGGTGGACACCCAGTAGAACACTTGAATTAATGAGGTCAAAGAGGTTAATTAGCCAGGGGAGGTCTGTATGTGGGAGATATAAAAGGGGTAAACGGGTCTTGTTCGATAACCAAACGATTAAAGATAAAACAAACTGTCCAAGTCTAACAAGTATTGGGGTAGTCTGTCACATATACAAATAAGATTCCAACTCCAACAGCTACTTTCGCACCTGTTCTAAGCCTTTTGGGCGTGACCCCCATTGTGACAGAATCATCGGTCTGTTTATTGTGGTGGATTCGTCTGTTCGTGTAAATGGCTGTTTCCTATAGCCCAGCCATACGAATGACTGTTTTTCCCGAACAAAACTACCAAACGGATGGCCACCCAGGAGAGAAGTGTGCTGCTGGTTAACCTATTGATCCCAATTACAACGTTGTGGTTAACCACAGACACTTCTCAATTTAACCGAATTCAGGGTGGTCGTCATTCGTATGTCGACCACGAGGCAGCGGCCATTTTAAAACACGCGAAAGCCCAGCGGTGTTCGGCTCTATTTTCATGGAACTAAAAACGGACACTTTCTGCCGAACACCGCTGAAACAACGGAACGCCTGGCTGCCTCCACGAAAGCGTAAGAACACCGGCCGTTTGGGAGTTTTGAAACACACGAAAGGACTTACCCCCAGATAGCCTTCCCATGGAGTCAAATCGCATACCGAAAGACTGTAAGAACTTTGACTCCATGGCGATTGAACTGTGTGTGTGGGATCTAATAATATGTACTCAGATCCAGGCTATCTGGGGATATGTGATGCGAATGGGAAATGTTCGGTTATTTTAAAGTTATATATTTTTATGTATTTTCTAGTATTGTATTTAAGATGGCGATTTGTCTTTGTCCTGGAGATAATTGAATTACTTCTCAATTATCTCCAGGGCAGAGGGGAGGAAACCATATTGCATTGTGGGTAAAGGCTGTGACTGTATGTCTGGAATGTCTTCATGTCCATCTGTAATTCCAGTCTCCCATTTGGTCCCCTATGGGAGTGTCCACCAAGTGGGAGACCTGCATAAATACGGGCAGGTAGCCCACAGTAAAGCCAGATCCTGTTTGACCCTCAATGCGGAGCTTCTGTCTCGTTATTGGGGGGATTTCTTCTTTGCGCTTAGAGACTTCTGGATGGAACCGAAAGCCGCTTGGTGGATATCGTTGTTCGGCGGCTAGCAGCAGTTCGTGGATTTCCGTTCGGGAGTTTGGAGCTTTTCACGGATCCCGGTCGGGAGATTACCGCTTCCCCTGGTTATGGTTTGTGTATTATAATTGATGCGAACTGATTACTGAATTTGCAAAAGGGGAAGGTGAACTAAACGGCAGTTTCTCTTAAAGACACCAGGGGTGTCTTAACACCCATGATTCAAGATTGCATTCAAAGAGTTGAAGATATCCGTTCCATAGAGAAAATGGCGAATTTACACAGGCGAATTCAGAGACAATTTTCATTCTGTCGAATTCACAAAACTTTTTTTCCAGAAAGAGGGCTTAAGAAAGAATAGTCTTAACATGCAACCCTAAAATTGAAATACCATCAATGTTACTATGGCAATAAACAAGCATTTTCATAGTTGTATAGTGGTATTTTCTTGTATAAATGTGCATTACATTCGCGAGCAGAAACATTTTTTAGCTTCCAGGTTTCAAAAATTGATGTGCGCATTAGATTCGATGGCACATTAGATGAGTAAATACGGTAAAATGCATGTGGGACTCCTGGATGTTGACTCTCCCTGCTGATCACAGCATACCCATCAATAAAACAACTCTCTGTGTGGTCTGTCTTTGCAGCCTATCACAAACAGAACATAACAGGGGCATACCGGATAAAAGCTTTATGGCCGAAACCTTGTACCATCATTTTGTCCTCTCTGACAATAAATTCTACTTATCTGCACCCTACTTTGTGATGTCTGCGGCTTCCTACTTCTAAAACATAAAAGTCAGGTAACTCATCACCGGAAGCCATTCTCCAGATCTCCAGTTTATTATTCTTTACGATTCTTATCCAATTTTGTCTGCTTATTTTACATGATGCTTGAAAGTTAATTATTGATATACATACAGCTTTTCACAATAAATTAATTGGTCACATGGTCTGGCAGTCATATACGATTGTGTGAAAATATTTAAACATTGTCTTCTCTAAAATTGTTGGAAGGAATGAATTGAAATTCTGTGCATGTCCTTGGCAAGGTCCTCCAACATAATACATCAAAGAGTTTTAATACTAGACAACATCCTTCTCACACTGACACATCCAGAGGAATCAATGCAATGTCACATATGGAAAATCACCTGTCTTGAACTAAATAAAGAATTTAAAAAAACAAAACAAAGAGTTTTAATACCAAACTCCAAATCTCCACTGCACACTGTCATTCAATTACCAAATTTCTATTTCCACCGCAATGAAACTATGAGAGTGCTAAACTCATGATTACATAGCTATTTGAGTGCCAAAGGAAATGGTCAATGTGTGGCAGTAATTGTAAAATGTACAAATAAATTAACTAAAAATGTACTGTTGTTTCTTTAGCCAAACAGCAAGATTCAGTACGGTCGCTGTTTATTTGGAATTAGACATGAGTATCCAAACACTGCAAACTCTCAATACACTGTGCTGTATGGACAGTTACTAATAATTCAGTCCCTCCAGTTTGAGGTCAAAGGATGGAAAATAATATACATTTATAAACCAAATACTTTCTACTCCTGATGAGTGAAGAGTGTTGTGGCAAACCCTGCCACTTGAACTAACTATTCTGTGCGAATGAGTGCTAAAACAAGTGGAGAAAAACACGAACAGACTTTAATGCTATTTTGCTGTCTTTTATGCGAATTCCCCGAAACTACCGAACGGGAGACCACCGCGGGGTGGTCGTGTGTTCTCAATTACCTGAATGATACAATGTTGCAAAGGGAATTAAGTACCTGTATGTGTGGCCGCCATTTCGCCTACCGACCACGTGGCGGCGGCCATCTTACGCACGAACAGCGGTACTTGGTCGTCGAACGCCTGGAACTCAAACCGGGCATTCGACTAACCAAGTACCGCTAAGACCTCCAGCATGCTCCGACAGCATGAATTAAACACAAGAACACCCAGGCGTTCGGTAGATAGAATCCCCTAAACAAGGGGATTCATACGAATGCTATCAGTCGCCTGGATGGCTGAGCTGTTCGGGATTTTGCATTCACTAAAATAGACCGACCGCAGGGCCAGAATTCATGGAACTGTTTTCGGCTACTGAGCCCCTGCGGTCGGTCAAATCTTTAACTGCCTGTAACTCCCGAACCCCTGGTCCGATCTGGGTGAATTTTGAGTATGTTGCTCACCCAGATCAGACCTACCAGGGGACCCCTTATTTAACACTCCCCCTGTATTTAGGGGACATCCAGAAAGTGGGGAAAACTCTGTCCCCACTAATCTGTTTAAGTGCTAATCTAAGGGGAGGAGAGGGATGGGAGGTGACCGTATTATGATTGGCTACTGTAATAATTATGAAAGTTACCTCCCTTGCATGGGAGAAATGCATAAAAGCAGACATGTGAATAAAGCTGACAGTTGACTCCCAGACTATGTGTCGTCTAGTCCTTGGGGAGGTGGATTATGCTGTGTTCCTGTGATTTTGTATGCTGAATCTTTGTTCCCAGCGGAGAGCTATTGGATTAACCCCTGCTCCTCCGCTACAAGTGTAAAGGATAAATGGTTTAAACATAACATTTTCCCCAGTTGTTTCCTGCTCCATTGTTTTGTTTTTTTACACTACTCTTCACATGCTTTTTGGAGTAGAAATTAACTGTACAAAAAAGATGGTTTGCATCTTTCTCAAAAGGGAACAAATGTTCTCACTGAGAAGTTCAGAGGTATTGCTAGGATGTATTTAAACTAGGAGGGGATGGCAAAAGGATGATAAAACATCAATCCAATTGCCCCCCAAAACAAAAACAGAAACTAACGAGTGTGTTAAAAAAAATGATAAGCTTAGAGTCATGTCTACAAATGCTTGCAGATTAGGGAATAAGATCCATGAACTTGTGGCAATAATGGCAACTGATAGTGTAGATTTAGTCACTGTTATTGAGACATGGTATAATGAGAAAAATGACTGGGACATAGCAATACCAGGGTACTCTTTATATAGAAAAGACAGAGAAGGCAAGAAAGGGGGAGGGGTTGCCCTGTATGTGAAGGATAAGATAAAATTTAGCCTAATACAATTTAGTGATGCGAACATAGAGTCCGTTTGGGTTACGTTAGAATTTGGTAATTTGGTGTAGGTGTGATTTGCAGGCCCCCTGGACAAATAGAAAAGTTAGATAATCTACTAGTTGAGGATAGCCACCCTCAGGGTCCCACTCCCGCCAGGCTGGATGGAGAAGAA